CTGTACTAATTTACTCGGCTCCATGCGAACATGTATACTGCTTATCCCAGCGACGAAGTGGGCGTGGCTGCGAGCTCTACGTGAACATGGCGTAGGATGTGTTGTCCGTGGGACATTTCCATTTGATGCAAGTATTCTCCTACCCCAGAAGCGCAGATTTCGCCACGTTCAAATCAAGTACGCAGCCACTGACTCTGCACCTCTGGGATATGGAGTGTATATCAGGAGATTCCAGTGGCTGTGCGAGGGTGTGAGGCCGTGTCAGAAAGCAATGAGGCAGCGAACATTGGTCTTCTGGAGGATCACATATTTCCAGGGCCTAGCCAACATTGCGAAAAGTTAAGCCGGTTTGATTACTTCTCACCATCCGAGTGGTCATTACCCCGTTGACGTCCGAAAACAACTATACAAGCCTGTAAAGAAGAGCCTTCCCCTTGATCTTTCTGAATTTCACAACTTAGCTCCAATTAGCTGAGACAGCAAACCGACGAAGAGGGTGAATTTAAACCCGCCCAGGTGAACCTATAAAAAATAAATAAACAATTATGTCAAAGAAAGCACTCTAAGAATAAACCACCAGTTTAGAGGGAAGCTGTTCTGTTTCGCCGCTTACTCAGCTAGAAAAACCATCCACCTCCCTATCCCTGAGACGGAGTAGGCGTGGCATTTGAACGTGGCATAAAATGGGTTGGATGGGTTACTAGTGCGATATAGCAGTTTGAGACAACTGTCATCTTGCTCTGTTCTAGACAGAGACATGACCACAATTGTCTCAAAATGAAAATATCTCACCAGAAGCACAGCTACCGCCACGTTTAGTTGAAGTACGCAGCCACGCCTACCGCATCTCAGGGATTTCGAGGGTATGCGTCGACTCTTTAGTGAGTTGAGGTAGGCAAGACAAGATACAGTGACCTTTTAACGAAAAATGAGGAAAAAATGGGGAACTTAACACACTACCTCTCAAAATCTATTTTAAATGCTAAGAAGCTTGGCTCGGAGTGCAAAAACAGTGTTCTTCAGCTAGAGCCTTCATATAAAAACTTCAAGGTATAATCGGTATCGAATTGAAGCGGATGATGATCTGCCCTTGAACCTGGCTAAATGCGTCTCCAATGAGTCAGAGATTTGGAGTGGTAGCACCGAACACCTTCAGCAGAGTGTTATCATGAGTCTTTCCGTCAGCAAAAGGGCGATTCCAGCAGAGAGTTTTCCGCTGTAAGAAGTGGGAGGGAATTCAGAAGCTGATGGCAGCCCTGTCAGATGATTGACGAGGTGCAGGATGGACAGCAGCCGCATTTGCATGGATATGGAAGACCAGGTGAGGCTGGCACGTTTACGCACCCGGAGGACGACCGCTAGATCAGAACGACAATCAGCTGAATTCCACTGCATGCCAGACCGGCACCTGATCGGCCGGCTACTTGGTGGCCATTCGAGGAAGCTCTGAACGAATGGTATGATGTTCACAATGCCCCTTGTTCACAATCTTGGGCACAGAGAACCCACTGGGTAGCTCTAGCACGTTACAGGGACCAATGCAGAAGTCATAGTACAGAGCGAGTGACCCGATAGGAGCATAGGCAGCTAGTTCCGGGAATAAAGTCTTGAAAATTCATAACTGCATTTCTACCTACAAGCTGTACTGAAAGCAGCGACAGCTTGTGAGCAGGCTCTACGGCACCCAGCTCGCTTATTCTGCCGTACGGCTACGAGGAATTTAATTCGACGCTCACTGATGTGTACGCTATGCAATCATCAGTAAACCTGCAAAAAATGCATAATTACCCTTACTGATGATTTATGGTCAAGCAAAAAATACTCTCTTAATCAAAATTATAATTAAAAATAATGGGCAGAAGCAGTAGGCCGGTAGTTTGGCTAAGAACTCTAGGGATGAGGATCGCAGTTCACAACGTTTCTGAACGGGACGGGTGAAGGCTAGTGATCTGATGGAACACACGGGTGTGTGGCAAGAGAATCGTAATTCGCCCCGCCACTGGGCGTCGCGTGCGACGTCGCGCCCGCTAATGACGACGATTTTAGGTGGTATTGGTCGAGAATAGACAATGTATGACCAAAAATAGACATAAGTGTCTACCATGTCCTTGTCTACATGAAATCCGATGCTCCAATCGAAAGGGTAGTGCAAATTAAGGAAACTCGCGCCCATTGCCGCGCGCGACGAAGCGGCAATTTACGATTCTCTTGCCCGTCTCCTGAAACACGCAAAACACGTTACAGTCTTGCTCGCTGCAGAGGCTGGGGCGTTTCAGGGGCTAGGTTTGCCGCGGCGCCAACACGTTTCCAACAATTGTGGAAGTTGGCAAGGGATCCATCCCCCCCCCGGACGCTCCCTTATATTCGCGGCGACCAAAACTGTAGTACGTCAGTACAACGTGACTAACCGAATCTCAATCGGTGCTGTCGCTGAACATACGACAAAGGAAGCAAGGTGAACATCTAGTGAGAGATCGTTCAGATACTCGTGTCTTATTTTACATTCTTACAGATACCCATTTAGCTGAAAGTTAGTTGGGGTGCTATTGGAGAAAGTGACGAAAGCAGAAGTTGAAACGATAAGACAACCTAAAAAAAGATCCTCTGTCGAGCACGACGTCAGGAAGCAGTTTTCGGACGATTTCTCACATGCATCGGGCCATCGCCGACTGCTGGTAGACACCGTCCGCAGTGATGTACTTCATACATCCATGGTGCGAGCAACGCCGTCATGATCACTCCCTACCTTTATCATATGAACTTCGTAATGAAGTGATCGAGCACTCAGGCATACAGGTTATCGCACATTATAGTGGGCCGACGACGCCGGTATGTCAGCTTTTACGGCTGCTATGACGTACCAGCTCCTGGCAAAAGCGCTACTGGTAGCTCCTTTATAAGTGCCGTCAATATCTGTCTGCAGATTGATCTCTATGATACTCTTAACCTGTCTTGGGATTATTCGTCCACTCGCATCTTTAAATACACCTTCGAGAGACTCGGGCCTATGCATAGCGAGGGACAGACTCGTTTGCCTCTGTCAGAAATCATTCTCGCGTTTACTGGACTCACTCTTACTCTGGGATAGTGAGCCACTGCACGCTAGCCGCACTTGTCCACCCGCTTCCTCCCATGCCAAGTGAATGACCTTATGCTATTGACTGGTTGTGCGTTTGATGTTTATTTATTTCGTTAAAGCATGGAAGAAGCGTTTACTCGAGCAACGCAACCAATAACCTATCTTGCACCATCGACATCCACTGTCTCAGTCGCTGGACAAAAAGGAATTATAACGTTGTCACTGAAGTCAGTCGGGGCGTGTCAGCGGCACATAGGTCTTGGCTCGGCACTAGTCCCTTCCTCACCATTGAACCCCCGAAGCGGCAACGATCAATGGAAAGCGGGCTGGCACAGCGCCAAAATCGACGCGCTGCTGACACTCCCTGACTGCTGATGGCTGAACGGTGAAGTGGAAAGAAGGTCGTCAGTAGGTCGCATCCCAGTGGATTATAGACTCACATACAAATAAAATTAATCTTTCTTCTCCTCCTTTTTCTCCTCTTTCTTCTCATCCTTCTTTTCATCTTTTTTCTCTTCTTTCTTTTCATCCTTCTTCTCGTCCTTCTTCTCCTCTTCTTTCTTGTCTCCGGATTTCTCTTCCTTTGAAAAAGATTGCATCATCACGGGGCATTTTATGCTGAACGACAACGAGGACTACCTTCTTTTCTCCATCAGCTGGCTCAAAGACGGCAATAATGCGTGCAACACCTTCAGGTTTCGAATCCGGAGTCCATACCTGAAGAGATGGAGCCGTCACTATAGAGAGCACGAGAAAAGGGAAGTACATTTGCCAGGAAGGACCCACTTGACGAGCTGTTTTGCCGGTGTCATCGGTACATTTCATGTGATATACTGCGAAAAAGTGGCGATTGTTTTCTGGTGGAGTTTTTGCTGTCAAAACAATCTGAAATCGACCGGTCGTCCTGCTGATTTCAAAACACGTTTCCGTGATAAACCGGATGGACGGAAAAAAGGTGAAAATAGCCGCTGTAATAACTTCCATGGCGTCGTCTTCTCCGATTCGCCCATTCTATAAGCAGTGCCTCAAAACCCTCAACGGCCGCGCCCCTGATGACCTTCTCTTACGTGACCCTTTCTTATGCGACTTCAGGAGGTGCGAATGTTTATGGCTCCCAATTCGACTGATTGGAAAGCATCGATTTCTAGTTTGTGTAATCAGTATCACATAAACATGTGGTTGATATCATCGCATCAGTCAGGGGTATCAGGACGCTGAGGTGAGACTCATCCCGACTGCGTTATGCCATTGTGTCGGCTTGTTGAAAGAAACGGTGATTGCAAATTGCTGCGTTGAAACATATACAGCGCTCCTGACATCATTTACCGCCCGAATGGCATGTCACGATATCAGATTCATTGAAGGCGATCAGGACGGCATGAACTGTGAGGGTGTAGTTTATCTAGAACTGTGGCATACCTTTACCACTGCTGTTTCATCAGGTTTTACGAACGAGAGCGGCGGTCGAACTCGGAAGATATCATTATCCGTGCATTTGACCTGAAAGTTCGTAGTGTATTTTGCGAACGCTTGATTCTTCGAGACGTGCGGTGGTACAGCAAGTCAGGGAGGCACGTTTACACGCGCGCTGGTCCGGGGGTCGAATTCTGGGAAGCTGGTCCCGCCCAATGTGCTTTTTTCACGGATCAACACACGCGAAGGCTTTATGTATCCCTCCAACGCAGTGTTCTCTGAAAGGGAGAGCTGCGTCCTTTCCTCCTGGAGTTTTCCCGGTAGCGTCTCGGATTTCGGCCAAGAGGTCCAGGTTGCGATCTGGCGTAACAACCAAGCATCGTTGAGAGAATTCCATCAAGGGCGGGGCGTGGTGTCAGAGGAGAAGCTTCAGGGAAGTCAAACTGACACCGCTATTTTACACATTACGATACGGCACCCAGAGTCCAGATCATCACTACTCGGCTCGTTTCCGTTGCATTGTTCGGTATACCATCGACACCCCCGTAATATGTTCAAAGAAGGTATTTTAGACTTACCTTAAACGTTTGTCGATCTTTTGTGGTATTCGTGATTTTCAATTCGATAGTGCATGGCTCATTCACCTTGTACTTGAAGACTAACTTCGTGTCAGGATCAACCTATGAGCGATTACATCAGAACAACCACTTTCTCGTGAGTGAGAAGATCTGAGTTGCGGCGTTCGCATGAGGACCGTTACGAGGCTTGGTGCGAAAGCGATACAGTCATCCTCTAGCTCACAAACATCGCTCCTCAAGCTAAGCTTTTGCTATCGCCAAAGCTCGTCCAGCTTGAATCTCTTGTCCCGCACTCTTGTACAATACTTGGAACAAACCTTCAATTGAAATGGTGGCTCTCCCGGTTTATTACCGAGTGGTTTCGACATATCTGCAACGAAATCCGAGAGTCACTACAAAGTACGTCAAAGAGTTGCTTTCAAACTGACCTTAGAAAATGTCCACCTTCTGCGTCTTCAATAAGCTAATAACGACCTACCAAACCATTCTTCAGCTGATATATCGACATAAGTCAGTCTTATCATTATCAGATGAGGCTCTCTGCTTACGTTAGAAGCATGACAGTTTCGTTTTGAAAACAAAATATGCTGAACCATTCGTGTGAAGGCGCGTTCATACACACTATTTCAGGGAAACGGATATCGCTAAATGACTTTCCAGGGGAGAAGAAAGCGAAAATAACCATGGAGAACGCCCTGAAAAAGGAACTGAAGCCTCTCTGGACGAGTTCTCAGACCTGGTCGTTT